CCATGAATTTTTTGTTTTCTTAATAATTTCCGAGGTTGATAAAGAAAATTATATCAGGGATTTCCCGGTCCACCTGGACCACCCGGAGCACCGGGACTGTCGGGTTCACTTGGATTTCCAGGACAACCGGGGCCGCCGGGTGAACAAGGAAGGACAGTACGTTTACCTTATTTATTTTAAAAATTATAATATAATAATATATAAATTCATTTTATATATTATATAACTAAAATCATTATATAACTACTTATAAAAATTATTCATCATAAAAATATTCATAACTCATTGTCAGAGGCGAATCCACGATGGGGGCCATGTCTTCTTTCTTACAAAAATGTTTATAGTAAAATGTTATATATTATATTTTTAATATTTCTGAAATGCATAATCACAGTTTTAATATTCCAAAAATATTTTTTAGTTTAGAAAACTCCTAGATTTTTACTGCTTAAGGCTTACTGCTCTATTATAGACATCGCATTATGCAAAAGTGTATACTGCGGCTTTTATTTTTCGCCCGTCGCGTCGCAAGTGGAAAAAATTTTCGTTTGCGACGCGTAAATTAAAAAATAAGAACGAAAAGGTATGGAAATTGTTGAAATTTTCTTTTTTTTTTTGTGTTTTTGATTGTTGGCACATGAAGAAACTTAGTAACTCAAAATACAAATCCGCCAATGGCTCCCACTTAAGAAATTCCTGGATATATTTCTGTTGTAACTAAAATCATTTTTTACCTTCACGTAAGCAGTAAGAATGCAAAGGAAGGAATATAAGAAATGTATTTTATCAGGGAGCTCCAGGTAACACTGGCGCTAGAGGTTTTCCAGGATTGCAAGGTTCTAAAGGATCGATAGGACCCGCAGGATCACCGGGCTTATCAGGATCACCAGGTCGAAAGGGCGAAAGAGTAAGCACTAATGCTTTTAAATTGAATATGATAACACGTGAAAACTTATTTATAAAAAAAAATAAATCCTCTCTAATAGGGCGATATGGGATTTCCGGGTCTGAAAGGAGATCAGGGTCCTCGAGGGTTTTCAGGTCCGCCAGGAAATGCGGGCGATTTTTTGCATGGATCGCCAGAATACAGGGACGAGAAAGGAGTCAAGGGTGATCGAGGAGACAATGGCATTCAAGGACAGCCGGGTGAAAAAGGTATAATACGTTATTTCTTAGAAAGGAAACATCAGATAAGTCACTTAATTAAGATAGATTAAATCCACTCATGGAACACTGACGAAGTAATTCGATCTCGGGAGAAATCGCGTCGAGATGTATAATTGGATTATTCTGTGTCGGCGATAGAGTAAGAGAATGCTACCGAATGGATGCTCGATTAATGCACTTGTTGTCACTGCAACGTCTAAATCAATTTATCGTCTAAATCTCGATCATGCCAGAATGAATATAATATCCTTACGTAATGCATGTTTCCAGGTTTTAACTGTGAATAATTTTTAAATAAAACGTGAATACATATGTTAAACTGAAAATTGTTTGGTCAACATTGATCATAGATTTATCATAACGAGATGAGACAGTGATTTTGCGTCGATATTAATTTGTTAGTTCAAATGTTCGACTCGGCTGTATAGTCGTGTTTATAGTCTTTTTATTAACATTGCACATTATAAAAAGTCACGATTCAAATAACGACTATTAAACGATTCAGACGACGCGTGACGCATGATATTCCATGTATCGTTGACCCAGATGTGTTCATTCACAGTCATTGTAAATCAATTTATCGCAATCTGTGGTAATATTTGCTTATTTATAAATAATTCAAAATTATTCGCTTATAAGTACCTTAAAAGTCAAAATTAATTGCGCAAAATAGAGAAAAGAATTTTATTAAAAATATTTATTATTAAATATTTAGATAATTGACTCAGAAGAAGAATGAAATTACTAACAGAGGAACACAACTATCAAGAAAAGGAACGAATATATGTTCAGACCTCTTGATGGACAAAGCGCCCTTGCGCGAAAGTTATTTTGGCGCCCCCCGCTAGATAATCTTTTTTTCCAAAGAACGTTCTTATGGGCATCTGAGAAAATGATTCAGCTAACACGAGAAAAAAAGAAATATATATATTTAAAACATTAAATTAAATCTGACAAAAGTAAGTCCTAACAAAAATAAAAATTGGAGCATAGATTGAATGTAAGAGGAAAGTGACAAACATAAGCAAAGTTTCTATAAGGCATAACCCAGTGAGAAATAGGAACAATGAAACGTAAAAGAGGCGTTTATCTTGTTGTAGCCCTCGAGTGCTACCACGATTTAGTCTTGCATTTCAGCATCGCAACGAGCTCACGGAAATGCAAAATTATGGATGCGTTACGCATGAAACGCATGATGTCGTTTTATCCTTCTTTATTATTTGGTGAACAACAAGGACAAATGGTACATCATGCGCTTCATGCGTAACTCGGAACGCACCCTATTATCGACAAGGGAAATTTCACAACTGTTCGGAACTGATTTGATTCTCCATGAAATATGTTATTAACAACTGTTTAACAACATATTTCATGGAGAATCAAATCGGTTCCGGACGGTTGTGAAACTTCCCTTACAAGAAGCAACCTTTGCATTTTGGCATGGCCAACGGCCCGCGAAAATGCAAAGCTGAAAATTCAGCAGCACATGCGGATTAAGATCGCACACACGCCGAACGATTCCTGTGACCATATATGGTCACATCGGAAATCGTAATTAGACACCGCGACTCCTTTATATTCGATTGTCTAATCGTAAACTGCGGGAGTTTTTTCATAAGTAAACTTAACGACATGTTACGCGCGTCGCAAGCGACTGATGTCTAATTACATCCCCGATATCAACTGGTCTAATCATCATCGCGAACACCAAGATTAAAATTAACGCATAGCCACGAAGTACTAACGCGAACATCAACTAGCATTAATGTTATACTTAATCGAATAATTGTGAATAAGGATTAAGAAAAAGGGGATTATTTTTAATAAAATTGTAAAAAAGTTGTTAAATGAGTACTCTCTCGTCGCCCTTCGAATACCATCCTCAGCGCTCCTCGTGGATTCCAATCCTGCAAGTGGACCGAATCCCAAAATTATATCTTATTGCACCGAAAGGTACAACAATTTCTTAAAACATTTCTTGTACATTTTGCTGTGTGTGTGTGTGTGTGTGTGTGTGTACTTTTACACTTCCTAGAATTTTTGTATATATTTGTCACTCTCTTACATTCGACTTACGTTTCGATTTTTATTTTCGGGCAATTGATGTTAGTACTAGTGAATTAATTTTGAAAATGGTGTCCCCTTGTGCAATGCACAATTTGCATATGGAGCAGGCCTGGATGTGACCCTTTTTGATTTTGATGAACTTTTATATTATTTTGTATACGAAAAGTACAAGGAACACGTATTTTTTTATATGTGTCTGCACTTTTAAAAGAAAGATGAAACCCCCCTTACTGTTAAAAGAAAATCCGTATTTTCTTTCAATTAAAGCAAATATCGAAACTATAACAGATAAAAAAAATGTTCTCAATGAAAGTTGAATAGTTTGAAGAGTACTTTACAATTATAATAAAAAATTCCATTAATTTATTTTTTAACATATCTTATTACTTGTCTTATCTTTATCTCAAAATTTTGAACTCTTTTTATGACGACAGGAAACGAAAGGATATTTTAATACGAATTTAGTCATAGGATATGTTACAAAAAATATAGAGATCCTACAGATGATTAGTCATATTGTAAATAGTACTTACACACAGACGATTTACGTGTTATTGTGACACATCATTACATACCACTACATCAATATCTCATGCGCCATACCACTGCATCAATATCTCACACACCATACACGTAAATTTTCGTATAACAATAACATTTTAATTAGACATCTAAGTCCAATTTTAAGAACTCTACGTTGTTTCTTCGTACAAATTACTAATTGTAAGTCTATGGACTACTATTTCGTAAGTACAAATTACACAACTTTTATATAAAGCAAAGGTTGTCACTGGTTGTCACGACGTGACAGCTGTGGAGCGCCATATTGGATTAAGAAATGATAAAAAAGATCTCAACAAAGAGGATTAGATAGAGTGGAAGGTTCTTATGAAATCATAATATATTTTCCGTATACTGCTATCAGTGCTATCTTGTGAGACTGATGTTGCATTTATTAATAATAATAGCGACAAAAAAATTAACGAAGCCGAACGAGATTCGAACTCGGTACCCTTCATTTTCCTACTTATGCATTAAAGCTGCACGGCCACGAAAACTTCATTGTAACTAATATTCCGTTCTATCTATATAAAATAAAAATATAATTAGAAACGTAATTGTGCATCGGACTCGACAGATGATTTTCGTTACGATATACGCGAACCTTTTGCTCTATCTAATTCTCTTTGGATCTCAATTTCGAAACTTTTTTTATCATTCTCAGCCTATATAGACTCCATTTCACAGATACGTATTAATGCGTATACTTTAATCCCGAAAAGAGGAAAAAAGTAATTGTTATACAAAAATTATATGATTAATGCCCGTTTCTACCAATGCAGTTTAACTTTAATCTCGATTTAACTAGGTAACGTCATCTTTTTCTAGTTTTAAGAATAAGAAAAAGATGAAGAATAAGTTGAACCGAGATTGAAGTTAATCTACATTGGTAGAAACAGGTCTTAGTCAGTAATATAGACGATTTTAGGACAAAAAATTTGAAAGTTTTAATTAAAAAAGTTAAACTTTTTGTTCCTAATAAAAATTTAAAAGTATTTTGAAATAAAAAGTGGAAATAGGAGTGACTGAAAAATATGATATTTTTTAAAATTAAAATGCATTGTTGTAAAGTGTACCAAAAATTTCTAAAATACAAATTTAAAACATTTTTTATATTTTTGACACTTGGTGTTATCTTATAAGAGAAATATCATATAAAAAATGTATCATTAGACCATTATAAAATTCAACAATTTTAGGCGAACCTGGAGACAGAGGATATCCGGGATTAGATGGATCCCGCGGTCGTGACGGTGCATCAGGTCTTCCTGGTTTTCCGGGACCTCCTGGTCTTCCGGGACGTCCTGGACCGAAAGGCAACACTGTATATACGAACACGTCTAGTATTCCAGGACCACAAGGTCCTCGTGGTATAATAGGGCCGTCAGGACCATTAGGTCCACCAGGACTGCCAGGACTGCCAGGATTGCCAGGGCCTCCTGGTCCGCCAGGCCAAATGGGTCCAAAGGGCGATATCGGGGAACGAGGTCGAGATGGTTCGCAATCTGTTAATTAAGAATTAAACAAATACACTAATGATAATTCTTTTTATACTTATAATAAAACTGAAATATTATCCTTTAAGGCACACCGGGATTGATGGATAATAGCGTCGTATCGGGACTGCCTGGTCCGGAGGGACCTATCGGACCTCCTGGTGATGATGGTCTCCCAGGTGAAAAAGGAGAAATTGGACCAATGGGTCCTTCAGGACTATCGGGAAATCCAGGAAAGGATGGATATCCAGGATTACCGGGACCGCAGGTATTAATTTTATTACTTCAGATTTATATATATTTATACTCCATTATTAGTTAAAATAATGTACTTTTCATAATATTCATTGTTGCACGCAATAAGGGACTTCCAGGACCACGCGGAGAACCGGGGTCTCCAGGACCTCGAGGTTTAGATGGGTTTGCAGGAAAACCAGGACAGCCAGGTCTTGATGGAAAACCAAGTCAAAAGGGTAACAAAGGACAGGAGGGTAAACAAGGTCCTGCCGGACCTCGTGGGTTACCAGGGAATTTGGTAAGAGGATGAACGAAATAGATATTACAACATTAGACAGTCTATCAATTTTATATTTCGAATAACGAACCCATGCAATTAACTAATGTAATTTCAAAATAATAAATATTATATCGATTAATTTATACATTTAGGGCTCAATGGGTTCACCAGGCGCACCAGGTATACCAGGATTAGAAGGAAGACCCGGTCTACCCGGTCCTTCGGGATTAATAGGACCACCAGGACCTCCAGGCCCTCCCGGTCTTCCAGCTGCGAATAGTAGCTATGATAGTCCCGGCCTCGAGGGACCTAGAGGTCCACCAGGTCCTCCAGGCGTAGTAAGTATCTTGTTTCAGAGAAGAAAAAAACAGAAAGATGATCAAATTATATATAAATTATATAAATTAAATTATAATATATAAATTAAAATTATATAAATTAATAAATCTTAAAGTCCCAAATAAACGATTAAGCCAGGTGAAAGAGGAGCTCCTGGAGAACGAGGATTAGAAGGTCAGATAGGACCACCTGGAATACCTGGTAAAGACGGAGCGCCTGGATTGCAAGGTTCCCCCGGGAACAGAGGTCAAACGGGATTACCTGGACTTCAAGGTCTACCGGGACGTAGTATAAGCGAGGCGGAAATTCGCGATATTTGCGCCACTGTCTTAAGAGGTGATTTTTACTACAGATTATTTCTAAACATAAAAGCTCGTTGACATTTAACTGATTTTCCACTTATCGACTCTCTTCATTTTTGTTGTGAAAATACACTGAAAAAAAAGATTGGCTG